ATATGGCTTAAAACAAAGTCCAAGATGTTGGAATATACGCTTTAAGAACTTTTTGAATGCATTTGGTTTACAATGTACCGAAGCGGATGCATGTGTATTCAAAGCTGATAACAGCCAAATTATTCTTGCAATATTTGTTGACGATGGTTTAATCGCGGCAGATAATGAAGAGATAATAGAGAAACTTTTAACGAACTTGGAGAAAGAGTTTGAGGTTAAAAAAGGAAACTTAGATTATTTCCTAGGTATGCAGGTAAATATAATGAAAAATGGTTCATTATTTGTGCATCAGACAAATTATGCATGTAGCATAATTAATAAATTTAATATGCTGGACGCCAAGGAACTTTCAATACCAATAGACAAATCACATACACTTGAACAAAAAGAAGATACGGAAATATTGAATGAAGATATTCCTTATAGGCAGGCAGTAGGTAGCTTACTGTTCTTATCACAGGTAACAAGACCAGATATAGCATATGCAGTAAACTTTGCTAGTCGTTACTTAGCAAAACCAACTAAAGCTCATTGGAACTTGGTAAAACGGATTATACGATATATCAAGCGAACATTTAATTATGGCTTGTACTTTAATAACAAAACAAAATTGTCATTAGAAATATTTAGCGATGCAGATTACGCAGGCGACATTCAGACACGACGTTCGATGTCAGGATTTCTATTCAGGTACGGGTCAAGCATAATTTCATGGACATCGCAGAGACAACATTGTGTGCCATTGTCATCGACAGAGGCTGAATATATTTCGGCCAGTGAAGCTGTCAAAGGGATCTTGTGGATTACACGGTTGATAACAAGCTTATCAACAACAGGTGACAAACAACCAGTTTTATTTATAGATAATCAGAGTGCTATACGTTTAGTTAAGAATCCGGAGTTTCATAAGAGGACAAAACATATAGACGTACGGTACCACTTCATACGGGAGAAATACGAAGAGGGACAATTCCAACTACAGTACATTGGAACAGAGGACCAGATTGTGGACATTCTAACCAAGCCTTTGGTTAAGGAACGATTCGAGAAGTTGCGGTCAGCCATAGGAGTGACTACAATTAAAGAGATTATTAATTGAGGGAGGGTGTTGAAATATACAATTAATATGTAGTAAATGTAGTCAGCCTTGACACGTGTGTACAATTTAGTAACTAGTTATGTACGAGCATAAGACTCACTCTCTTTACGGATGTAACATGACCTCGGTCGAGCATATATATAGGGCCTTTGATGTATGTAATATTCACTTGCACAGACGCTGTCATACCGAGTGTACGCGGTGTGTGTGTATAGTCACAGTTTAATTGTCCAGTTGTACGTTATTATATATTATACTTATACATAATCATATTGTCGTGTTATTACTTATTATATTAATGCTAACATCATTAGTCCGTCAAGCTTCACTTTCAACACGGTTCAAGTGCTCGAGATTCAAAAATTCAAAAACCTGTGTTTTTCAATTTTTTGACGTGATAATAACGTCTTATAAATCGATTACCCCGCGACCGTCGGGCGGAGTGGGGGACCCATTAAACGAGTAATTATTTTTGACGAAGTATAACTTAGCCGGTATTCGACTTAGAGACCCCGTACCAATTGTCATCTCAATTTTTTAGGCCCCAGATGAATTTTCAACATTAGGGAACCAAAGCCCCCACCCCCCACATTTTGAGTTGAGTATAACTCGAACAGAATTCAAGTTAAAGACCTCGGACCAAGGGGGAACCCATTCTTTTTATGAAGACTACCGTTTTTTGCTTTAGGGAACGGGGGCACCTCCTCCCCCTTTTTGGATTTTGCTTTTTAGATGGATTTTGGTCCGGGAGAGTACTAACACCCACCTCGCCAAGGGGAAACTCGGGGTTTTGAGTTTTTGATAGGATTTATTGGGATTTTCTTAAATATTGTTTTTATTGATAAGGAAAGTGATAAGAATTTTATTTTCAAAATAATTTTTGCCCCTTAAATTTATAAATTTATAAATTCCATTGTGATTTCCATTTACCTCCTTCTCTATATACATACAAATCTATTAATGGGGGACGAGGTGGCCGAGCGGTCGAACACGTCGTCTGCGGCGCTGGCGGTCGCGGGTTCGATTCTCTCGACCACTGGGCGGCATTTTTCTCCGGGCAAGTCACGGTGTCCGGAGAACAGGGGGCACTCCGGGGCATGGCAGAAACCTACGGGTGCCCCAATAGAAATTCTGCCAAACACAACATACACGTGTAGTAACCCTACAATTTCAAACCCTACTACCTTCAAATTACAATCATAAACCCTACAATCAAGCTAATGGCCATAGTCGCCGGGCTTTAAAAAGATCAATTAAAAAAAAAAAAAAACAAATCTATTAAACAAATGAAATTAAAATTTACTTTTGAAAAATGCTACCATTCCTTCAGTATTTTCTTAACACGTTGTCACGTTCAACTATCGTCAGTAAACCGACTTTACAGACAACCGATTTTTTCGTCGTCTGCGGCGCCGGCGGTCGCGGGTTCGATTCTCTCGACCACTGGGCGGCATTTTTCTCCGGGCAAGTCACGGTGTCCGGAGAACAGGGGGCACTCCGGGGCATGGCAGAAACCTACGGGTGCCCCAATAGAAATTCTGCCAAACACAACATACACGTGTAGTAACCCTACAATTTCAAACCCTACTACCTTCAAATTACAATCATAAACCCTACAATCAAGCTAATGGCCATAGTCGCCGGGCTTTAAAAAGATCAATTAAAAAAAAAAAAAACAAATCTATTAAACAAATGAAATTAAAATTTACTTTTGAAAAATGCTACCATTCCTTCAGTATTTTCTTAACACGTTGTCACGTTCAACTATCGTCAGTAAACCGACTTTACAGACAACCGATTTTTTCTTTGCATTACTACTACATAATAATTGTTTTTAAAATCTTCTAAAATATTATGTTCGCTTTAATAAATTGTATTTTGAATTTTATTATCGTACCTAATTAAATTTTATATTTACTAACTGCCTGTGTAAGGCGATTCCGGGCGTTGTGGAAGCCGCAATTAATCAGCATTTCAATAATATATTAAAAATATAAGTAGTTTGAATGTACGGATTAGATAGACATTTTTTATGAGTATTGCAGTACATTTAACTATTATAGCTAAGAGTTTTAGTAGGACCTTGGTATGTCGATTGTTTATGACAATGTCGTTACATACATAATAATGTAAGTAATAATAAGTAAACATGAAAAGACTACAATAAATTCAATACATTTTAATTTCTTAAAACATACATGTTATGTAATATTATGCCTCGGGGGGCACCGTTCGGACCTTATTCGCCTTCCCCGCTAGATTTATAAGCCGTGCGCGGCCGTACTTTTTTCCCGTCGGCCCCGCCGCCGCCGAGATCGAGTGCAATAGGCGCGCCGCCGTCGAGCGCGTTTTTTGTCGTTTTTTTGAAAATTCGAGTTTTAGGCGTTTTAGGGCGTATCGACCTCTCCGTTTGGATCTTATTCGCGTTCCCCGCTAAATTAACAGTCGGCGCGCGGCCCTACTTTTTCAAAAACGAGTCCCCCGGCGGACGATTCGATCGCCGAGAGCGCCGCGTCGTCGCCGTTTCGACGGTTTTCTCGACTTTTTCGACTAGAGTCGCGTTTAGCAACTCTACGAGACGTTCGACCTCCCCGTCGGGGACGTATTCGAGTTCCACGCTAAATTTATAGCCGGCGCGCTTACCTACTTTTTCAAAAACGAGTCCCGGGGAGGAGCGGCGTCGCTTAAACGAGAGTAGGTAGGTACCGAGTAGGTACCGCTATATACAGGCATGAATACGTGCGTCTCGAGGTTCGATTTTTTTGCAAAACTCGCGTATTATACGTCCGAGGGCGGCGGAGCCGGTCGTCCGCTCGCCGAAGAGGTCGGATCGCGCGCTCAAACGCCCTTTGACGGCCTTCCAAACGGCGTTCGCCTTTCGCGGGGACGCCGACGCGGCTTAAGAGTCATAGATTTGACTCCTAATTTTATCTCGGTAGGTGGCTAGGTAGGTTAAGCGTCAGAACGGGTCACCCGACAGTCGTGGTTACGAACCCGGCGGCCGATTTAAATCGAAATTCTTTTTTTTTCGTCACATTTATCATTTTTAACGAAACTTACACCCCCACTGCAACCGACACTCGGGAATCGACTTTTACCCGACACGACTGATAGCTAGACACTCAAACTCAGAGAACCCGAATTTCCGATTTCAACACACATACGAGAACCGGACATCCACGATCGGGGCATGGTCTGCGATCCGACGTAGTCGGATTGCCTACCTGACTAGCTACTTGCATACGAGCGACTTACACCCCCCCTGCAACCGACACTCGAGAATCGACTTTTACCCGAGATGACTGATAGCTAGACACTCAAACTCAGAGAACCCGAATTTCCGATTTCAACACACATACGAGAACCGGACATACACGCTCGGGGTATGGTCTGCGATCCGACGTAGTCGGATTGCCTACCTGGCTGGTTGTGTTGTACGATCGACTTGAATCGCGTGACTTACGACTAGACACTCTTCCGAGTTCAAAAATTACCGCTTAACCAGTGCTGCCAACACGACAAAACACAATACCCGACGATCCCCCATTCCCGCCGCAAGCCAGATCAAAAAACCCAGCATCGCCGACAAAGATGCACCACCGCCCACACAGTCTTTCCGCCGCAGGCGGGATGACAAACGCCAAAATCTAGTATTATAATAATACTGTATATAAATACTTAATAATATATATTATATTATAAATTACCTATTAAATATTATATGGTATTTCTCCATATACCTATATAAGATAATTTAATTACTTTATATTAGCTAAAAATATAAAAATGTGTAATATAATAAAATAATAATAAATTATTTACAATAATGATATAATAAATATAAAATTGTATACTTATACATGGAGACCATACAATTGATTTTTTTAAATAATTTCAAATTTTAGTGACCTACCAATTTATTTGTGAATGATAAATCTTCAGATTTTAATTTTGATTCAATTAACATGAGCTCATCTTCATTTTTCAAAGGGAATGGTACTAGTGCATTTTCTTTGGAACTGGTTGACTCATACTCATCACAATGGCTTGATTTTTTACTCTTGATAAATGAATTTAATTCTTGTTTAATATAAAACATGTTTGACGTTATTTTCTTATTTTCAGCTATGATTAAAATTAAAATATTTAATTAATATGCATTCGGGCTAATTTAACTACTTTTTAATACTTACCAGATATTTTACATAGTTGATGGGCTATAGAAACTAGCAAGGTTTCTTTATCATTACTTATACAATTTTGAAAAGTACAAGAATGTGATTTTTTGGCTAATTTACATTCAAAAACATTTGATACAGATATGTTGTCTGAAAAATATTTTAAGTCAAATAAAACAATAATTATAACTGCAGGAACACTCAAGTAATAAAGACATTTTAACATCCGACTTACTTGTAGAACATGTTTGGGTGGATACCGTTGTGCTTAAAGTTTCCTCGTTTGATATATTATCTTGACTTGATAATGAGGTTTTTCTTGCTGGTGTACAATTAGAAATGTTTAGAAGTGTTTCATCACTAGTGTTGTCTGTAGAAATTATAACATTATAAAAAAAAAAAATATTGTAACATTTAATACATTTTTATATTAATAAAGAATGCAACACAAGCTATTATTCAATTTCTCCGTTTATTAAGACATTAGAGCTAATTTACATAACTCATTATTATGATTATGGCATCTGAGTTACACTATACTCTAGACCAAATAAGAAACACCAACTTTTACTTAGCAAACCGATAGCAACGTGGTGTTTCTTATTTGGAATAAAGTATAATTGGTTTTTTTTTTTAATTTTAAAGAGATTCAAAAATTAATATTTTGAATAACTAACAAACACAGACAGCTGTGAACACTAGTATTTTCATCTTCAAATTTAAGAGTTTAAATTCTAAATCGAACAACCATAACTCCACAATTTAAATTTTGCATAGTAATAGGTGTTAGTGTAGGTACTTATTGTATATGATGGATGGAGATAACAAACAAGATGTGTAGCATAATATTATATCACCTTTTATGTTTGAAGGAAAAACAGGGAATGATACGGTCTTTTTTTGCTACTTCTTAATGGTTCAATGTCTTCATCAACAGAGCATTCACTATCTAAATTGTCAAATAAGCGCTTTGATGACTTAGTTCTTTTTCCTCGTCCCCTCTGCTCATAATCAGAATGTAAATTTTGAGCATTTTTTGAGAACTTTACCATCATTTTAAGACCAATTTGAAAATCACCTATAATTAATACATTATATTAAATAGGTAAAGCTAGCTAAGAATCAAGAAAAAAATTCTTAATTCAATAAAGGTAACTTTAATTTATTGCAGAATAATTATAAGTCATAATATATTATATAATTTAAAACAACTTATTCAATATATTATAGGTATATATTATATTTTATGGTATATTACTCACTTAAATTGGTCTCTATAATTTGCATAGTACAATATTCCCAATCATCACTACTATGGTCGGGCATGATTTGCTTCCGAGCTAAAGAATTTATGATATTTGACTTTAAGTTTTTCGGATACCAGCAACTTGATTGGTCAATTTTCCATGCGTTGGGAATGACATCTGGCACTTTTTCTCCGTTATCAATTATGTGTATTAATATCCACATTCTGACTAAACTAAATAACATAACAGCCATAAAAAGGGAAAATCTTTAAGGAATACTGTAAGACGAGGAAAATATTGAACCAGTTTCAATCCTTGCATAAAATACTATGGATATTCTATATATGAATATAGATCGTAGTAAATTATAAATATTATTATGTAAGTATAGGAGTGTTTATTTATTTAAGCTGTATGAAGTAGTTATTATTATTATTATTATTATTAAAATTAAGAGTGTTTATTTATTTAATAGTGAACATAAATATTATGTATTAGTATAGGAGTGCTTATTTATTTAAACTGTATGAAGTAGTGGAAAAGTGATAAAACTTTGTTTGTATTTGAAGTAAACATACTTAGTTATTATTTCATTAATAGGCCAACATTTAAGAACAGATTGCTTTTGAACTTCAAAAATACCTAAACAGGAACTTTCACAAGGTTTTTTGAAGAAGTCATTTTTATCTAAAAATGTTCTACCTACAATAACATAACAGTTAAGCTTTGTTGAATAACAAATATTTTCAACTACAACAACCTCACCTTTTTTTGTCCCACAGCAATTATTTGGAGGTAAGATTTTAATAGTAAAATTAGAAAATAGCAGTGTAGAATATTGTGGACCATTGCAGTAAGGAGGCAGAGACCCATTCGAATAAGTGTTTTTTAATTTTGGAAAATCCTCCAGAAATTTGCATGTATTGGTTGATGGAAATTCTGAATGGATAGAGAATATCTGACCTAATCGTTTTTCAATTTGTTCAAGGGGTTTATTATTTCCTTTAGTCATTTTTTTAATAGTTTGTAGGTAGTTTTCAAATGGAAACGCTGAAATTGTATCGAAGGTAATAGAGTCTAAAATGGTACAAAGTACTGTACATCATCATTTAAATGAATAAAGCCATGGAAGTTGTGTGTAATAAACATTTCGCCATATAAGTTCATAAAGTTTTGCACAAAATGCCGAAGAAGCGATCTGGCGTATTCAGTTAAATCTGGCTTCTGGCAACTTTTTGGATTTAACAAAATTGAAATGGCTACATGTAATGTAAGAAAATTGTTATATTTTTCATCAGTCAAAACTCCTTTTAAAGCAACTGGTCCCAAGTATAATAAAAAATGTTGAAAGTGAAGCTTGACGGACTAATGATGTTAGCATTAATATAATAAGTAATAACACGACAATATGATTATGTATAAGTATAATATATAATAACGTACAACTGGACAATTAAACTGTGACTATACACACACACCGCGTACACTCAGTATGACAGCGTCTGTGCAAGTGAATATTACATACATCAAAGGCCCTATATATATGCACGACCGAGGTCATGTTACATCCGTGAGAGAGTGAGTCTTATGCTCGTACATAACTAGTTACTATATTGTACACACGTGTCAAGGCTGACTACATATACTACATATTAATTGTATATTTCATCAAAAAAGAACGATATTCTGTTGCTTTGAATCGCAACAAATATTTTAAATCCCTAGGCTGCCTAACAAATTCCACAGGTAAGCTTCTACGATTGTTTGTCATAAAATCTGAAACTACTTGAATAAGTTTTCGCGATAGTTTGTGTGGAAGTTCACAATTGCACCAAATTAAGAGCATTGTTCTCATTACACCTAAACATACGAGGTGCATAAAATCAAGAATAATTGACTTAACAAAATCAAAATCAGGTATTCTAACCAATGGCGTATCTGATTGTCTAAAATTAACATCTACCCAATTTATAAAATCATCATTAGTCCTCATTGGACAGTCCAAGTCGGTAAAAGTTCTCCTTCTTTCAATCGTTCTACCATGAACTGTGCATCTAATGCAAGAATTGTAGCCTCCATGTCCTTTAATACCTAATAAATCTTTTTTAGCAGGTGCATCACAACATATACCAATGAGTTTAACAGATACTTTATTTCCTAGCTCAGTTATTATACCCCTTGTCATTAAATCAATCAGCTCATTAATAAATGGATTAAGAAAATCAAATATACAGGGTGATTTTTTTATCGAAGAACACTCATTATTTCAAAAAGTATTAATGTTTAAGAAAATATTTTTTTACATAGTTTCAAGTTGTTAAAAAACAATATTTTTATTAAAAAATTATATTTTTAAATATTTTTTATCCTTTTAATTTTTTAAGTTTTTTACTTTTTTGAATGACAACATGTAATTTTAATTTGATATTCAAAAACAGAATATTTTTCTGATTATTTTAATACATAAAAATTGAATTTAGGGCAAGTAGTTTATGAGTTATAAGTATTTAAAGTTTAGATGAGCGGAGTAGAGGACAAACATTTCGCGGGGTAACCCCGTACCACTCTACTCCGCTCATCTAAACTTTAAATACTTATAACTCATAAACTAATTGCCCTAAATTCAATTTTTATGTATCGAAATACTCAGAAAAATATTCTGTTTTTAAATATCAAATTAAAATTAGATGTTGTCATTCAAAAAAGTAAAAAACTTAAAAAATTAAAAGGATAAAAAATATTTAAAAATATAATTTTTTAATAAAAATATTGTTTTTTAACAACTTGAAACTATGTAAAAAAATATTTTCTGAAACATTAATACTTTTTGAAATAATGAGTGTTCTTCGATAAAAAAATCACCCTGTATTATAAGGCTTTTGCATACCATAATAAATGCCTACAGGAAACACTATATTTTTTAATTGAGGAACATTCATTATTGCAATTAATATAGGGTACACTTGACCGGCTGAACTTTTGAATAATGGTAAGCCATCAATATAAAGTAATAGTTTTAGGTCCTGTATATTGTTAACTGATGGAATATTAGAGATTAAACGTATTAACTGCATTTCCAGACCAAAATGAATATAGCTACCGGGTTCAACAACACTTTTCTCAAAAACTATATTTGTTTTCAACAGAGTCCTAGCATCAGATGGTAACTTAGATAAGCCATCAACATTAATTTTTAGGCCAACCAATAAATCTGAAAGACACACTTCTGTTACATTATGTTTAATAGCCCAATTTTTAAGAAAATGTTTAATGCCTATGGGAGATTCATTTTCATGGCTTGTTTGAAAATATGGTTCATGAATAGATTCATCACTACTTTTATCACTGTTACTAAAACTACTATAGCTACTACTAATAAAATCATTGTTAATATTTCCAAACTGATATTGATCATCATTAGGAAAATCATCATTATAAGAAGGATCTGAATTTACATTTATTTGGTCGTATGAAACAATTGGAGGGATTTGGATATTTCTATCGAGTAATGGAGAGACTGCAGTTATTTCAATATCTGATGAAGATATATTGTAAGAAAAGTGAGAGCATCCAGCTTCATCAGCCCGCCTTCGTTTACTTCTGTCAGATAATTCATGAAATTTTGATAATTTTCTGGACATATTTCAATATTTGTAATCTGTTTTAAAAAGTTTGAAGTAACGGTAAGATTGAATAACAGGTAATACACCTACAACATAAGTTCATAACGCCTCAACAAATATGTATTAAATATAAATGATAAAAAAATGAGGCGAGTAGGTACCTACATTATGAAGCGTATTATCAATAACTATCACTGAATATAATATATTATTATTATAATTATCACGATTCAATAGTTATGGATGTTATAGTAGGTAATGGGTATATTGTAAATATCTTAAATATTAGGTACCTATATTATAATTTATAGGTAATAGGTATTATATTATATAAACCTAATAGTACATAGTATAGTAGGTACCTGCTATTTCAGTTTATTATTAAGTGTGTTTACCTAAAATAAGTTCACATTTTTCAAATTGTCATTAACTAAAAATGTATAAAGGTACCTAACGTAACAAGTTTTGTGCCCTTATTTTTAAAACTTAAAACCTCATTTCTTTTCATTAAGAAAAAATCGAGGAAAAAATATAAATTGAAAAATGTCAGAAAAAAATTGTAGAACATAAAAGCATAACCCGGAATTAAAAATTATATACCTACCTACCTAACATAATTTATACAAATTTATAATTAATATCATTATTTACTATTATAATTATTATTTTAATAAGTAGGTAGGTACTTACTTGTACTGACAAAGCGCGTTGATGTTGATCTGAATAAACAGCGAGAGCGAGTAGCGACTAGCGAGACGCGAGTGTCGAGTGACCGAAATGTTCGACAGATAAATAATTTATTATTTATTATTATCGCACAAACCACTACCACACCGACGGTTTACGATCGTTATTCCCATCGAATATGATATTATATAATATTATTATCACATAATATCAAATTATTGGTATTATTAATAGATTTGTATTATTTTTTTTGTCTGCAATTACCCAGTTCCAGCCGCGGCAACGCCGACAAGTTTATATATAAACATACAATCAGACAAAGCGGTAAACAACTTTTATCTATGGTGTGTGTGTGAGTGACGAGTGTGACGCGTTCCTGCGTGTCCGTACTCCGTAGGAGACCGTAAAGAGTAAAGACTGCTGCTGTCGTAGGCTATAAGCACACTGGCAAGTGGCAATTATTAATCTAGGAACTAGGATTGATAACTCGTAATATATAGGTTCCAATAAGTAAAATTATTTTATTTTTAAGTTTCAAAAGAAATATACAAATACAATACAATATTATGTTTCATATTATTTGTACATGAAAAATACTTGATATAAGAAGCCACCCATTGATGATAACTAAAGACCGGATTTATATGTTTTTACATATCGTTACTGGGTCTATGCAGTCTTATGAGAGTAAAAAATGTGGACGATTCGTTCAATTCTGAATGCGTAGAAAAAAGTTTTTTTTATCATTGATAACACTTTCTAAAATATATATTATAAAGTACAGGCATTTTTTTACTCAAAACCTTGTACATTTTGAATTATTTGACCTAAAAATGATTAGTCTACCAATATATACACAACGAAAGTCGAAAATGGGCCGATCACTGGTCAACCAAAACCGAATACAAACGAAAACATAATTAAAAAAAAAAAACACGAACAAATGGCTCATATTAAAAAAGGTTCACACTTTAAAAACGACTTGGGGCTATAGAATCAAACACACTATAATAGCACGGACCTAAGAGTAAAACGTTAAAATATAACCAAATACCTAATAAAAATTCAAAATAATTATTACTCAAAACTTAAAACAGACGTATATTATAATAGGAATATAATAGGTATACAAAAAAATCACTTAATGCGTTTTTCAACTTTTCTACCCTGATTACGGGCGAAATAATTGTCGTACGCATTTCAACCATAGACCTTTTCTGAATCGTCGAACGCCAAAATACCAGGATTAAGAGTTTCATAGTGATTTAAATCGAAAATGAATCCAAAAAAACAAGTAACTACGTAATTTTCAAAGTACAACGACCACACGAAAAATCATAACTCACGAACCAAATATCGGATAACCTCGATCTTGGTACCCATCGACCCGGGACGAAGTCCTCTATAACATCCTACTACAAAAACGGCTCGCCCCGCCCAAAATCTAAGTGTTTGCGCAAAGAAACCTGAAAAAACGCCAATTTTTAACTTTCAAAGCCCCAGAAGATGGGAAAAAAACGGCTCCTACGGTAAAGACACAAGAAACCGAATTTAATCACTGACCTCCAATCTACTCAAATATTGAATTTCAGAAACGTAGTACATAAACTAAACGTTTTCCAAAATACACCTAGGGGGAGGGGTCGAGGACTCCTGACTCCGGAAGTACGATTTAGAAGGGCCTAAACCAAAACGTTTGGTGAAGAAACGGTCCACTTAAGTTTAAACCCGGCTGAGAAATACTTAACTCAAAAAAAGGGAGGAGGGGAAACTTATAGTATGTTATGCAAGTGGTCTTGCCTGACAGTAAGCCTTTTTACCTTGATTTAACAGTAACACAAATCACGGGGAGATTACACACTCGTTGTCCACTTATATGCCTCTGACACAAAAATATTTACCTTAAAACATATTTTACAGGGTGATTTCACAATTATTGTTATCCATGCATTTTCGTTGTATAATGGTATACGTTAATTATTTTGTTTGAGCGGAAAATAGATGGACAACGAGTGTGTAATCTCCCCGTGGTTTGTGTTACGCGGTAAAATCAGTGTGCTCTGTGTGGACATTCCCGCTTGAACGTGTTGTAATTACCGCGGAAAAACAACGAGCTGACTCAGAATATACTAATATATATATATTATTCTACTACTAGATGTAATTTCCAATCTTTTAAGCATCTTTTGATTCACTTTTGGAACAGTATTTCTACGCCCGAAAATACAGATTTGTAAAACCTGCAGTAGGTACATTTATCACTATTATTATTATAATTAGGTATTACAATCGCAGAATCTAAAATGAATATATTTTCGCAATACAATATTGTAATATAATATTGTTCTATAAATTAATATCAAAGAACTTTAAATTATAAGAATGATAGCAATATATAATGATACGCGGCGCATGCAAATGATATTTTTTAATGCGGTCTTGCAGATAATAATATATAATAATATATATTTTTTTTTCTTGCATAGGTATGGCAGAAGGTGAGAAGTTTGCACAGTCTGTACGACGTTTGTATTCGGAATTTTTCAAATAACGTTAACTGTGTGTACGCAGCGCACTGTTCACCATGTGGCGAATTTGGTACATCGACTGTGCGCTCATTCGTGAGAAACTTTTCCGATCTATGCATCGATCGAGTCAATCACTCGTGCTCCCCTCGGTTATAATATATATAAGTAGTATATATATACCAGTCCTGGCGCACCTCATAATATATCAGTAAAAGATCACAAAGAAAACAATGTGCAAAAAGATCAGAAAATCGAAATGCAATAATAATTAAAAACATTTTTCGCAAAACTTATGAAATGCAATAATAATAAAAATATTTTCCACAAAACTTAATTATTAAAAATAAAAATCGAAATGCAATAATAATAAAAACATTTTTCGCAAAACTTATTAAATACACCCAAAATATTTTTCATAATACTTATGATATTAATAATTAAAATCGAAATGTAATAATAATTAAAATATTTTTTAATAAAATTGTTCTATTAAAAAAAGTCTAACAACAAACTAGTGAACATTAAATATAGTTTTCAAACCAATTATTCATTATATGATTCGCTAATTCATTATGAATTTCCTTAAAATAACCAAATAATTTTTTAAAATTTTTTTGGTAACGATTGTAACTATACTTATTATCATAAGATTGATATAAAGATGATACATGCGTTTCTAAACTATACATAGATGATTCAATTTCTGATAACTCTTTTAGTATATTTTTATACCTTTGGATCATATCTAAATGATTTTTACAATTTTCCATTTCTAAAAGATTTTTACAATTTTCCATTTCTATTATTTATATTAGTAAAAAAATTTTTTTTTAACATTGTTCTATTAAAAATATTTTTCTAATCTTTTTGATTTTGATTTCCAATCAGTGTATTGAGATGGTTTACAAAATCGTTTCTATCTATGTTTGTTTTATAATGTCCCCAAGCTAATGTATCAATACCATTTTCCAAAATAAATCTTTTATCATCATAAACACTTAAAGCTTCTTTGTTTTGTTCTACAGTAAAAATATCATGTTTCTTAGTTTTAACTAAATTTTGTTTAACATATTTTGATTCTTTTGTTAGTAAACATTTTTCAAAATCATTAAAACATATTTTATTTTTTACAACATTTTTTTTAACACATTTAGCTTTTTTAATTTCTTTTTCAGTATCTAAGATTCGATGAGATTATAATTTAGATCTTAAACCTATAAATTCAGACATTATTTTTCCATTTAACTCATCTTTAAACTTGCCTAAAACTTTTTTGTTAACTAAAGGTAAACCATAAATATTATCTTTTGGATAATCTGAAGTGTCAAAATGATCTAACATAATTTTCATATCTTGATAAAAATCTTTAGTTTTTATTTCTAATATTAGTGAATCTGTATCTGTATATAACAATCTAACTCTATTTACATATTTTTTCTTTATAATATTATAATAAAAATCATACATTTACATTTTAGATAAATCTAAAATACACATTCCTACATAATATATTGGTTGTTTGAAAGATATTTGTGTTCTTTTCATATGTACGGCAGCTATATTTTCTATAAAAATTGTCCTTCGATCAAAATTTGGTTTTGTAATTAATTTTTCTAGTTGGGCTGCATTAGAACATAATTTTATATCAACATGATTTCGAACATTCATCATAGTACGTCCATAAACACTATTATTCATTAATTTGAAAAATTCTTTTTCAAACTCATTCTTAGCTTCTAAGATTAGTATTAAAATCAATATAAACTTTTAACCAAGGAGATTGACTAAATTCTAATACTCTAT